TAAGGTCTTGGGTAGTGTTGTCGAACAGAGAGACCTAAGTAGACAGGGTGGTTAGGAAGTCGTTTAGCACACTTGTCTTCATTTCTCAGACCATTGAGTATGGGAGTTGGGACGTCATGGTGAGGTTGTATAGGATGTTGGCGAGGCCACTTTGGGACTATTGTGCGTATGTCTGCTCACCCTGTTATAAGAAGGATATTATTAAATTGGAGGGGGTTCAGAAAAGATTTACATGGATGTTGCTGTGACTGGAGGGCTTGAGTTATAAGGAAAGGCTGGATAGGCTGGCACTTTTTCACTGGAGCATAAGAGTTTGAAGGGTAATCTTATAGAGGTTTATAAAATCATGATGGGCATAGATAAGGTGAATAGCAAAGGACTTTTACTGAGGCTAGGGGAGTTCAAAACTTTTAAGGTGAGAGGAGAAAGATTTAAAAGAGACCTGAGGGCAACATTTTCACACAGAGGGTGGTTTGTATGTGGAATGCACTGCCAGAGGAAGTGGTAGATGCAGGTCCGGTTACAATGTTTAAAAGACATTTGGACAGGTACATTAATAGGAGAGGATATGGGCCAAAAGCAGGCAAATGGGACTAGTTTGGTTTGGGAAACTTGGTCAACATTGACAAGTTGGACCAAAAGGTTTATTTCCCTGACTCTATATATATAGGTCAGAACACCAGGAAGGACTTCCTTGCTCTCCTTCAAAATAGTGTTATGGAATCTTTTACATTTACTTGAAGGACAGATAAATATCTCAGCTAAAAGGACACCACCTCCAGTAGTACAGCATTCCTTGATCAACACTGCACTGTGTGTCATGCTGGATTATATACTCAGATTTTTGAAGTGGAACTAGAATCAAAGGTTTTCTGACCCAATAGAATAATTTTGGGACAGATATTTTTTGTTGTTGCAATTGAGCACATTGTACCTGAGAGAAACACATAAAAGAAAATTGGATGAGGTACATCTTACAACAACTACAACAGTGTGTAACTTATATAGTGTTATTAACACACTAAAACATCCCAAAACAACACAGTATGGAGCTGGAGGAACATAGCAGGTCAGGCAGCATCAGAGGAGCAGGAAAGTTGACGTTTCGGGTCAGAACCCTTCCTCAGAAATGGGGAGGTAGAAGGGAGCTGGGAAAATAAATAAAGGAAGGAGGGCCAGGTCTGGGGGAAGATAGGTGGTATAGTGATAGGTGGATGCAGGTAGGGAGTGGTACGGATTGGTCAGTAGGAAGAGAGGGGCAGATCGGTGGGGAAGAAGATGGACAGGTTGGGTCAGGTCAAGGAGGCAGGGATGAGAGGGCGGTTTGGACGTGGTATGAGGCTGGGGGTGGGGAGATTTTAAAACCTGTGAATTCTATGTTCAGGCTGTCGGGCTGTAGACTCCCAATGTGGAATATGAGGTGTTGCTGCTCCTCCAGTTTGTTTGTGGTGTCATTGTGGCACTGGAGAAGGCCCACAATGGACATGTCATCAAGGGAGTGGGAGGGAGAGTTAAAATGGTTGGCAACTGGAAGGTGTTGTTGATTATCACGTATGGAGCACAGATGCTCCACAAAATGGTCCCCGATTCTACGCTTCATCTCACTGATGTAGAAGAGGCCGCATTGAGAGCAATGGATACAGTAGACCAGGTTGGAGGATGTACAGGTGAACCCCTGTCGGATTTGGAAAATTTGCTTTGGGCCTTGGATGGATGTGAGGGGGGAGGTGTAGGAGCAGGTGTAGCACTTCCTGCGCTTGCAGGGCAAGCTGTCGGGTATGTTGGAGTTAGTGGGGATTGTGGAGTGGAAGCGGGATTCGTGGCATGAGTGGAACCTACTAAAGGCAGATAGGAGTGGGGAGGGAAATATCTTTTTGGTCGTTGGGTCGGATTGTAGGTATCCCAAGATACTTTCCAGGAATAGTACCAACAAATGGGTTATTGGGACAGCTGAAAAGCAATCGTCAAGAACTACCTTAAGGAGAAGTGGAGACTCAGAAAGATTTAGGCAAGAAATCCCAGAACATAGGACCCAGACAGCTGAAAACAGTGCTATCAATGGTGCAATGATAGAAATTGGAATGCATAAATGACTATAATTGGTGAAGCATAACAATTTCAGGGACTATGGAACTGAGGAGAGTATAGAAATTGGAGGATCGAGGCCATGGAGAGATTCAAAAATAAGGATGAGGATTTTAAAATCCAGACTTTCCCAGACCTTATGCCAATGAAGGTCAGCAGGCACAGGATTTTTTTTCTAAATTATTCACAGGGTGTTGGTATTGCTGCATTGCCAACATTTATTGTCCATCTCCAACTGATTCTGGATTACCAAGAGGATGAAAGATGAATAGGGATATACAGAAATATAGAGTTGAGGTTAAAATCATTTGCCCTTGGGAAAGTGGTAAATGAGATTTAATATGAGTTAGGATATGAGCAACATGAAGAGAAACAGAAAATGCTGGTGAAACACAATAGATCTGGCAGCATCTGTGGATGTTAAAAAGTTAACATTTTCTGATGATACTATGGCTTTAAGAGGTGTATTTTGTCCTGGTTTTTTTATGAAGAAAGTTTGAGATGGAAGTGTCGAGCAGTCTGCTTAAAGCCAATAAAGTAAACAGCTTTAAAGTTAAAACAGTAGAAGCAGCCTGAATGGATGGCATCAAACTCCCACAGAACCAGGATTTTTAGTTTTAGCTTTTTGCAGTTCCTCGTGTATTGAAGCTGAATGTGGAAGCTCTTATTCCTCTCTCTGTTACAGCTAAAAGCTAGGGTTCTCTTCCTGTTGCTAGAACTGCATGTGAGACAATCTATTTTACTGAATTTGTCTTTGCCAAGGGTGTGTGTATGAGATGACACTGTATTGGAACTGTTAAGAAGTAGTAGTTAATACATATATTATTTTGTTCAGGATTTTGATAGAGTTACAGTTAAGCCAATTCTTTCTTTTATTTTTATTTTGTCCATATTTTAACTGTTGTGTAAAAATAAAGTGTGTCTTGCTTAATGTTGAGTAGTTTGGCCAATTGAATTGTATCTGGAATGCAATGCCTTACACTTACCATTAAGTCCAAAAATTAGGATCTAGACTATCTTCTTAACATGTTTTGAGGAGGTTTGATCTGGTCCATAACAGTTTCAAGTCTGATATAAGCCTTACTTGGAACCGAAAAGTTTCTGATTTTATAGATCTCAGGATTCACAGTATTTTGCTTTATTACAAGAGCAGCAGAATTTTGGATGAACTCTTGTTACAGAGGGTGGAAGGTGGAAAACCAGTCAGGACAGCAATTGGAAAAGTTAAGTCTAAGAGTATCACTAGTTACAGATTTTGTTCAAACTCAGTAACAGGCCAATCTGCCAGTGCTTCTTAATAACTAGTTTCAGAATGAAACCCTGGAAGAAAATGGAATTAGAAAAACAAATAATTTCCAAGTAAAAATATAACCAATGACAACAATTTATCTTGAGTTGGTTATTTCCTTTAATTTTCAGTGTTATTAATAACACTACGTTGCTGTAATGAAAAGTGATTAAACACTCTGCAGATATCCAAAAATTGTGGAATGATTGCTCCAAATGGAACCATGGCCCCATGAACCTTTTTCCTTTCTCTAATCCTTTGGATAAAATAATCTTCGTCCCTGGAAGATAATGCAATCCAGATGTATTAGTGTGTACTGTGTTTTGATGAAATCCGCTTAGGAACACCAGACACACCAGGAACACCAGCACCTGCAGTTCCTCTCCAAGATACTCACCACCTTGTGTTGCAACTGTAATGCTGTTCCTTCACTGTAACTAGATCAAAAACTTGGATCTCCTTTTCCAACAGCATTGTGGTTGTATCAGCACCTCAGGGACTACAGTGGTTCAGGAAGGCAGCTCACTGCCACCCTCTTAAGGGCATTTAGGAGTAGGCAATAAATGGTATTGCTAGCAATTCCCACAGTGCTGCTGTTGCTGCTGATTTAGAGAACAGTTAGCGCTAAAGGGAAAGATGTCACTTGTTATTCAGGAGCTGGACAGCAGCGACCAAAATGTTCACTTAGTTAAAGCTGCTCTTCACTAACTATATGTTCAACTCTGGGCTCATCACAATCAAGGTCTGTCCTCTAAGTCATGTCTACAGTTCTGGACTTGCTGCTAATTTACTTAAAGCGCAAACTTAAGACATGGAAGTTCTTGCAGATACTGGTCGTCAGATCCCTAATCCAGTGAGTGAAAATTATTGCATCAGTGAATTTGGAGCATTCAGTAACAATATCTAGTTACTGTCTTAGAATGTATACTGTAGTTGTGGATTAGCCTGGATGGACTCAGTATAGCAGCATTTTAATCCAGATTAAACTATATTTGTTTTTTTCTTTCTTATTAAATTGCTGCTGTGAAATGTACTGGGGCATTTTACTGCAGGAAGGGAACGATATATTTGTATTGGTTTTTCGTGGAATGTGGGTATTGCTGCCTAGGTCAATATTTATTGACCATCCCAACTGTCATGTTGTGCAAAGACCCTCACAGTGTTATTACGAGGGAGTTCAAAAGGATTTGGACCTAACGTCAGCGAAAGAAAAGCCAATATATTTCCCTAGCCAGAATGATGTGAGTTGTTATAGTTCATGGGTCCTAGACACTTTACTCTGCAGACAATGTAGCAAACGCAGTGATACCAAGGTCAGATCACCAAACACAATGTGACACATTGAAAACGCACTGCATTTTTGCAACATTGACTACAGAATTTTGACACGGACCAACAACTATCCCTGGGAATAACTCGATAAAATCTGCGGAGCCACAAGTGGAGCTGTCTCTTTCTGGTTCAAAAAGGTCCCTATAGGGGGCCACCTCTCGCTTTCTGCACAGGCAAGCAGATTTGTTGCCGTTTTAAGGAGAGCCTTGGCGGGGGCGCGCCCGCCTGCGTGTTCGCGCTCGCTCCACGGCCGGGGGGCGCGCTTCTGTGTATCCAGGTGAACGAAGTGGTCGGGCTGGGGCTGGCAGGAACACCATGGAACAGAGCTCCGCTGGCAAACTGCTGTGGATCCTCACTTTGGGGACAGTTTGTGTCTGTAATGTGGAGCCTACATCCCGCAAGGTAGGTACCGGGAAGGGGGGAAATAAACAGCAGCTTTACGGAAAATTGTAACGTTGTCATCATTTCCAGTTGTTGAAAAAAATATACATGGTACATAGTTATTACGCGGCTGTAAGACGGAATAAACCAGTGAAGATGGTGTTCATGCAGATAAATGCCATCAGGGAATAATCTTTCCATCTCGTTTTTACAGCATTGACTGTTCTTCGGAAAGCGACCCGTTTGTAAACTTGTGAAAACCATTTGATGAGTTTTGAAAAGCTGGTTCAGTTTCAGCGAAGCCAATATTTGCGATGTTAATCTGTTTCACATTGAAGCAAAGTTTGTAAATCAAACAAGTTGTGGCTGGGGAAGTAGATATGAGGAGGGAAAATCATTAAAAAGGTTTGTAAATTCAAACGGAGTTGATGGCATCGCTTGGTCTAATTTACTGAAATGTAAATCTGTCCGCAATCCGGACTCAATTAAAAATAACGGGGCTTTTAATAACTTCCTTTTTCCGAGGTTATATTAAGTTAAACTTATTACCCATCCCCATTGACAAACAGGAATGGAGGAAGGTTTTCATTATTCCCGCAGATTGGTCAATGTACAACATCTGTAAATTGTGTGTGTAGACGGTGGGAAGAAAGGAGAGGGATAATGAGAGGGGGGAAATGTATCCGCGGCTTTAATGAACTGCTCCTAGAGAAGGAGGGAGCTGACTTTTTCCAAAGGTGTTCTGGACACTTGCCAGTTCCACGGTTTTACCAAAAGGAACTTTTTTTTATTCTGGTTCAAACGCAAACCGGAGTATGTACAACGTATCAAATGGCCACATTTTCATGGTTTGTTATGCTTGTTTTTCTAAACCACAATCCCCTGCAATTCTCTGCCTGAAGCTGTGGGAATAGGCTGGGGAATGGGTCTCTCCTTGCGTTAGGTAAGACCCATCATTGTTGTTGCCTTTTTGCTGAATACAAAGACATGTTACATTTCTATCTTGCCTTCATCAGCACAATTCCAAGAATGCCAAATTTCAAACGATCTCAATAACTTACACAAAAAGGTGCAGAATGATTGGAAGGGGATTCTGGTTGATCAAATCATTACTATGGAGACTGTAGGCTCCCCAAGCTCAGGCTAATTCAAAACTGGGACAGATTCATTTTGGTTGAAGAAAACGAGTCCTTATGAATACCTGTGTAATATCAAATGAGAATTAATAAGGTTAAGGAGAATCCAAACAGATTCTACAAATACGTTAAGGGCAAAAGAGTAACAAGGGAGGGAATAGGGCCCCTTAAAGAGCAAAAAAAATTACAGCATGGGAACAGGCCCTTCAGCCCTCCAAGCCTGCACCCACATGTTCCCCATCACAACTAAAACCCCCTACCCTTCCAGGGACCGTATCCTTCTATTCCCATTCCATCCATGTATTTGTCAAGATGCCCTTTAAAAGTCACTATAGTATCTGCTGCCACTACCTCCCCCAGCAGCAAAAGATCAACAAGGCTGCCTATGTGTGGGACTGCAGGAGATCGGTGAGATACTAAACGAGTATTTTGGATCAGTATTTACTCTGGAGAATAATGTTGAAGCTAGAAAACCCGAATAAATAAATACTCATATCTTGAAAAATGTCCATATTACAGAGGAGGAGGTGCTGGATGTCTTAAAATGCTTAAAGGTGGATAAATCCCTGGGACCTGGTCAGGTGTGTCCTAGAACGTTGTGGGTAGCTAGGGAAGTGATTGCTGGCCCCTTCCTGAGATATTTTTATCATCGATAGCAATGGGTAAAGTGCCAAAAGACTGGATGGTGGCTAATGTGGTGCCATTATGATGGTAAGGAAAAGCCAGGGAACTATAAATCGGTGAGCCTGACATCGGTGCTGGGCAAATTGTTGGAGGGAATCCAGAGGGACAGGATTTACATGTATTTGGAAAGGAGAGGAATGATCAGGTATAGTCAACATGGCTTCGTGCATGGGAAATCATGTCTTACTAACTTGATTGAGTTTTTTAAAGAAGTGACAAAGATTGATGAAGGCAGAGAGGTGGGCATTGTCTATATGGACTTCAGCAAGGTGTTTGACAAGATTCTGCACAGTAGACTGATTAGTGAGGTTAAATCACATGGAATCCAGGAGAGAGAGCCATTTGGGTACCAGCGATAACAAGATGTAGAGCTGGATGAACACAGCAAGCCAAGCAGCATCAGAGGAGCAGGAAGGCTGATGTTTTGGACCTAGACCCTTCTTCAGAAAGAAACATTTGGGTACCAAATTGGCTTGAAGGTACGAGACAGAGGGTGATGGTGGAGGCCTGTGACCAGTAGTGTGCCACAAAAATTGTTGCTGGGTCCATTGCTTTTTGGCATTTATATAAATGATTTGGATGTGACTATAGGAGGAATGTTTAGTAAGTTTGCAAATGACACCAAAATTGGTGGTGTAGTTGACAGTGAAGAAGGTTATTTCAGATTGCAACAGGACCTTGACCAGATGAGCCGATGGGCTAAGGAGTGGCAGATGGGGTTTAATTTAGAGAAGTGTGAGGTTTTGCATTTTGGAATAGCAAATCAGGGCAGGACTTAATGGTAGAACTCTGTGGAGTGTTGCTGAACAAAGAGACCTTGGAGTGCAAGTTCATAGTTCCTTGAAAATGGAGTCGCAGGTAGACAGGGTAGTGAAGAAAGCATTGGGCATACTTGCCTTTATTGGTCAGTGCATTGAGTATAGGAGTTGGGAGGTCATGTTATGGCTGTACAGGACATCAGTTCGGCCACTTTTAGAATACTGCATGTAATTCTGGTCTCTCTGCTGCAGGAAGGATGTTGTGAAACTGGAAAGGGTTTAGAAAAGATTTACGAGGATTTTGCCAGGGTTGGAGGATTTGAGCTGTAGGCTGGGGCTATTTTTCCTGGAGCATCAGAGGCTGAGGGGTGACCTTATAGAGGTTTATAAAATCATGATGGGCATGGATAGGGTGAAAAGCCAAGGTCTTTTTCCAAGGGTAAGGGAATCCAAAATTAGAGGGCATAGGTTTAGGTGGGAGGTGTCAGATTTAAAAGCGATCCAAGGGGCAACTTTTTCACACAGAGGTTGATGCATGAATGGAATGAGCTGCCAGAAGAAGTGGTGGAGGCTGGTACAATTACAGCATCTAAAAGCAACTGGATGGGTATACGAATAGGAAGGGTTTTGAGGGACATGGGCCAAATGCTGGCAAATGGGACTAGATTTATTTAACAAATCTGGTCATCATGAATGAATTGGACTGAAGGCTCAGTTTCCATGCTGTGCAACTGAATGATTCTATGTTAGGAGCTCACCACACTATCTTAAATTGGTTGGTAGAGTCTTTTGCAACAGACTCAGGATTGTTTAGCAATTGGTGACCAGTCGTATGGTAGGCAGCTTTAAACAACAGGTCAAGCAGGCCGTTTTGTGCTGCTGCTATTGCTTGAGCTACACTTTCCACTAACAGGATGCTGTTTTTATCAGTCCAAAAAGATATTCTGCCTTCCACACAGTTGAGCAATGTTGTGCTTGAATTTCTGTGCTGGTCCAAAGCCAGGTACATAGGTCATACATCAAACAGTGAATCAATTAAAATATATGAGGCACAGCCAAGATACAAACACTTTAAATGCCAGGTATTGAGGGGTTTTTTAAGGTCAGGATATTAAAGGTTTTGGAAGCAAAGCAGGTAGATGGAATAAAGATACAGATTAAGCAGAATCTAATTAACGAGAAACTGAAGAGACTGAATTATTTCCTTTTTTTTAATCACTAGGATCACTTTGCAGAAATGTCGAAGACAGCAGAGGTCAGTCAGTAGTGGGAATATTACGGGAAACTGAGAAAAGGAAAGCAAGCACTTAGTGAAAACCACAGAATCATTTTAAGAAATAGTTTGAAATTGCACCTATAAAATCTTTCAAGATGGTTCAATAAAGATGGAACAAATAGTTCTCTTAATGTATAATTATCATGTGACCTTGTGCAGTATTGGAGATTATTTAATGGTGTGAGCTGGAACTCTGTCTAACAGCCAGTAGTTGATTCTGCAATCTAAATACAGAAACCCCAGTCCTATCCTTCCTGCCAGGAGATAGTGCACATGCGTGCAACCAGTATGAAATCTGTCAAAGGTTTTCTCTCCAGTTTGTAATCTCGGGAATGCCCTTCCTATACTCTAAAAAAGAATTCTCATTTTATACAAAATAAAAACCAAAAGAACTGAGGATGCTGGAAATCAGAAGTGAAAACAGAAATTGCTGGAAAAGCTCAGCAGGTCCGGCAGCAACTGTGGAGAGAAATTAGACTTGATGTTTCGGGTCAAGTGACCCTTCCTCAGAACTGTTCTCTATTTTCACTCCTACTTTAAGATTCTCCTTAAAATCTACCTCTAGCTTTTGGTCACTCCTTCTAATATTTCCTTATGGCTTGGACCTTTGCGTATTTAAGAATAATGCCACTGGACAAACACTCTAGAAGTCCAGACTATAGTTAGGGGAAGTGAATTCAAATCCCACCAGGGCAGCTGGTTTTATTTCAAATTACACAATTAGTCTAGGATTGAAAAGCAAGTCTTGGCAATGGCGACCATGAAGTGATGTAAAAACCTCTGGTTCACTAATGTCCTTTTAGGGAAGGACATCTGTTGTCCTTACCTGGTATGACCTACAAGTGACACCAGACCCACAGTGCCCTAGTTGACTCTCAGATGCTCTGAAAGGAAATTAGGAAGTGATAACAAATGTTGGCCTTAACAGTGAAGCTCACATCCCATGGAAGAATAAAGGAAATAAAAGGTGCTAAATTAATGCAAGGTATAGTATATTAATGGATCAGAAGAAAGGTTTTCTATAAAATATTAACATAAATCTATCACTTGTTACAAGGATTATTTCCAACTAAATCAGAATATGACAGAAAAGTATGACCTGACGAGGAATCCCATAGATTAAAAAATTGTTTCACTTTAAGGGAAGCCAATATTGATTGTTTTGTA